TAAAATAGTTACCCCTTCCAATATCGAATGGCGCATATTACGATGTATACTGGTCCCCAGTTGTTTCTTCTTCTTCTTCTTGTCCAAACCCATTTTCCACATTTCCATTTCTTCTCCAAATTTAGCATGCTTTCTGATTTGGGTTCATTCTAGTCCCTCTTATTTCTCTCGTTCTTTCCATTTGCATTTCCTTTTCTTTCTGGTTTGTTAATTTTTAAGCTCAAAATGGCTGTGGCTATGGCTTCTTGCAGTCTTGGGGTTAACTTGAATAGTAACTGTAGTTTGAAAAAACCCCTTGCAATTCCATTACAAACTGGGGCTATAGTAGAAGGGTCCTTTGGGTTTGGTTCTAAAAGCTTCTGCATTGTTCCGAAGGGAAGGTATGGTATATATGCTCACTGTTTTATTGGAATTTATTGATTTGTTATTTTCTTTGATGGGCATGTCTTACTTTCTTACTTTCTTATCTGGTTTTCAGAATTTGATTTTTTTTCATAGAAAGTATGAAACGCTTTAAGATTTTGACATTATGGGTCCACTGCCTTTCCTGTTCTGGTTATAGAATTCTTTGGTTTCTGTTTCTTGGGTTGTTTTTGTTTGGTATTTATCTCATTTGAAGTCTCTAGTACTCTGAAGTCTGAATGATATTTGCTCAACGATGCTATTGTTCTTGGGTTACTTGTAATTTCTGGGATTCTGCTTATGCTGAATTGTTCGTTTTATGCTTCTCTGCAATTTTTTCCTGTATTGGTCCAAAAAAGAAGTCTTAATAAGTTAATCAACTTGTATATTCTGGTTAAAAAGAATTCCTGAATATGCAGTCTTTTGCATATCAGCTTGCCATTAATATGAGCTTTGCAGTTAATATTAACTCATTTTATTGTGACTGATCATTTCACTTAAATTGACAAGTTTTTTATAAGAGTTTGTTCAGTATGTGACTGTATCAACATGTATTTGGTACTTGAGGTTGGAATTATCAGATATTGTCTGAGCTCTCTGAATCTACCAACTCTTGAACCTTCGAGTCCAAGGCCTTGATTGTGGCTTGAATTCAAGCCACAAGGAGAGCTGATAGATTTTTGGTAGTAGGATTAGTACGTTTAAAAATTCCTGTATTGGCATCTTACAGTTAGATTAAGTTACCTTAGCTGAATATTCTTGATATATGCAAGCATTAAACTGGGGTCTTGCATCTATTCTTTATCTTTTAAATGTATGCCGAATCTTTGACAGATTGTTATCTTCATCAACTTCAACTACTCCACGAGCCTCTTCTGCTACAGCTGTGGAGGTAGTTAATAAATTTGAGTTTGTAATCAGTAATATTTGAATATTAACTTGCTGAATACCTCATTTTTGTACTGGGCGTTTGATGTCAAAAAATAGGGTGGTAAACCTGATGGAAGTCAAAGTGAAACTGACAAGATCCCAATTCCCAAAGTTATTATTGATCAAGACTCTGACCCAAATGCAACTGTGGTGGAGATAACATTTGGAGACCGGCTGGGAGCTCTTCTTGATACTGTATAGAGCATTACTCACTGCTTCCAACAATATTGTTTGTCTATTATTTTGCTCCTGCATAGATATTTAAATATTTTGAATGATCTGTCTTAGTGTCTATGTCTGAACATATAATTCAACTTTCATTAACTGGGTCTCAGATGAGTGCGCTTAGGAACCTTGGCCTGAATGTTGTCAAGGCCAATGTCTATTTGGATTCTTCTGGAAAGCACAACAAGTTTGCCATCACCAGAGCGTGAGTATGCTTTACAGATAGATGACCTCGTGGCCTTGTATTAAGTATAGTTTTGGGTTGTTTCTATGCTAGTGTTAATACTTGTCAATGTGCAATTGATTGCAATGATCACTTTTCTGCTTGTTCTGCTTCTCTGTCTGGCTTTAATTTTCTTTTCCTTGTTGTGCATAGATACTTCCATACTTGTGGTATTATTGATTGCTGATTAGATTTATGTACTGCCAAAGTGCTGACTTCAATTCAGATATGATATATTCATATTATATCATCGTTTTCTTTACTAAAGAGGTTCTATATGATGAAGTTCATCCTTATTTCATGTGTTTCTAATGCAAAGTTATGGCACCTAAAAATTAGGGGAAAGCAGTATTCCTTTAATGCCAGTAAAAATTTAGCTTCTCAATTAAATCTTAAACCTGCGATTATGGTGAGCTTAACGGATCAGTCCTTCCAATAGCTGCTGCATACACATTTATTGATTCGATGGTGGGGTTTGTTTGCAGTGATACTGGTAGGAAAGTAGAAGATCCAGAATTGCTTGAGGCTATTCGTTTGACAATTATAAATAATCTGATAGAGTATCATCCGGTATTCTTTCTTAACCATTTCCATTTGTTCTTGAGATAGTAATTGGTGTAATCTGTTTAGAATTTCCACCGTTGTAGCTTTCTTAGTCAATCAAATTTGTGGTCCAGGAATCAAGTTCCCAGTTAGCAATGGGAGCAGCGTTTGGAATTGTGCCGCCACCAGAACAGGTTCTTGAACTTAATTATTTTAATTTGCACAAAGTTTGGGTAGTTGAAGCTTCATGTAGGCACCATGCATCTGTGCACTCTTAGTTTCCAAAATTACAGCACAAATTTTTCATGTTCTAGCATGCACATAATGCATGTGTTTCTTGTTTTGAGGATTCTCATTTGAAATTCACTCCATAAGCATTGCCTTTTCCAATTCTAGTCATTCTGGAGAATAATTCATTTCTCTGCTTCATGAGTAGCTATTCCCTAGTTATTTGATCATTGAGAATAACTATTCTTGCCACTCCCTCTCAATTTTGTTCACTTTTAAGGTAAGGTATTGGCTTGAAATTTGATCACGGTCACATCTTTAACTTCCAAAGAGCATTACATCCCACAATTTTGTCCCGATTCAAACTCGTTTTTAATTCCTCAGGTTGATGTGGATGTAGCAACCCACATAAGCATCAATGATGATGGCCCCAACCGAAGGTAATGTGCATCATTCTTTCTTGATAGGATGGGCTTTTGCAAACCAGCGGCCATTTCCCATACGCCAAAATTGTTGGGGCTGCAGGCCCACAACAGCCTTTAACTGTTATGCATGAGTGATATCCTGTTCTAACTAATCTGGTCTGCTAATGATTATTTTTGGTTATTACATTTGTCTGTCTTCATTTATTCTAATATTAGATTTCTGCAGTTTGCTTTATGTGGAATCAGCTGATCGCCCTGGATTACTGGTGGATCTTGTAAAGACTGTAACTGACATTGATGTTGCTGTAGAATCAGGAGAATTCGACACTGAGGTATGGTCTTGTCTCACTTTTGCAGCTTCAATTTTTATTTTTCTCTTTTTTTCCTTCTCTAGTATCCAAGTTTATTGCTCATCTCTACTCTTTCTTTTCGGTAATGAAGTTC